TTCTGAATTCCGCCCAGTTGCACGTCGTTTTCATTCCCATTCAAATCTAAACCGACCGGCAACGCCGTAGTTTGTTGCATCACGTCGTCATGGTTACGTATTCCGCCACCATGGTCAGCATTTAATCAAGGACTGTCCAAATGATTATCATCGCCGGACTCCACTATCGTCTTCTCTGAATTAAGCGTAACTGATGCCGGTGTATCTTGCCGTATTATTTCTTTATTCCCGATCGTGTCAACTTCAACACAAAGGTGCTTGTTTTGGAAAACTTGATGATCTACGTGGCCGTTTCGAGTTGGACAATCTTTTCGCAAGTGTCCTGGTTGCTGGCATTTATGGTACACTCGCACCTGTACTTGTGGCAAGGATGATATAGGTGTTGACGTACGTGGTGTCACTGTCTGTCTTGATGTTCCTTGACTTACTGCTGTTTTGGATGACTCAGGATAAAGTGGAGTAGAAATGGCAGCACTCGCATACGACCGCTTCTGCTGACAATCCGGATTATCATGACCGAGCACGTGACACTTTTGACACTTTAATACCGTACATTCTGCTTTAATATGACCAATCTGTTTACAACGATAACATACTTTTTGGCGTCCTTCCAGATGAACTGGAACCAAAATATCGCTTATCTTAATCGTAACTGGTACGTTCTCTTCGTCTTGTCGTGATGAGAAACGGATTCGAATGCGTCGAACAAAGGTCTTGATCCATTGGAAAGGTCGAGGAAGTCGCTCTGTTTCGATGCTAATGACCTTTCCTCCCCATTTAGATGCGATCACACGAATTTCATCGTCTGGCACCGTTGGAGGAATGTTAAGAATGCGAATAGTTTTCACGTTTTGATAGGGTTCACCGACGATGAAGGTCTGATCGCCAACTTTAAGTTCACTAAAGGCAAGAACTTTCTCTCTTGCAGCTGTTGTTTTGAGCATCACGAACCACTCCGAGAAATTACCCAAATTCCCTATTGAATCAATTTCTGACACAGGAACAATCTGTCCAATTGTAGCGATAAGAGCAGTACGATCAATCCGATCATTGCCGCCAACGAGACCCAAAACCACCGAATCCCGCAGTAACTGATGACCTGGCGTTGTACGAACAATCAAAATACAAATTGGAAAACGCGGAAAGCCCCTAACAGCGTTCCTAATATGTGTATAATACAATCAGTGCCTAATACGTGTAAAATAATAAAGGAGATAACACAATAAGCTCTCTCGATACGCGTAAATAATATAAACCCGACACAAATAATATTTGTCTCAAATAACCTCTTTTATAATACTACGTATAAGTATTGAAGATCACAGTTTGCTAAATAACAACTTGTCCCGATTATACGCAACACGAACGATAGGCCTGGTACCTAATGGTACCTAGGGTTCGGAGGAAATAATCGTAATAATGCTAAATTCACCAACTAATAAACCTATTCTAAATGAACCTAACAGCTTTGCTCTTCGTGCACGTTACGTAGACAAAATTAACTCTTTCAACGATCTTCAATTCCCCAAGAAATAAATAAACCAAAAAGCAGACGTAATGTATGACGATAATATAGATATACACAATTTTCTAATTCACCAATCCACCAGATACAAAGGCACCACACGCACGCTCCCCACAATTTCAAAATAAAGGAGCTACACCTTATGTACAGCTACTTCGTAAAAACACGCAATCCACGTGTTTCTTCCTACTGTATATTTTTCTTTCCTTCTGTATCTGCTTAATATGTACTGATACAACACGTCTTCTTGTATGTCCAACTTTATAACAAATCGGCAATGTCACTTTTCTGTTCTAATATGAACTCGAAAAGTAACTTCTGAGAATTTTATGATGCTATTTATATACAAATATATACATGCCGAGGTACTACTTTTTCTCATATATCAGTCATTAGACTGTCTATATTTCGAGAAAAATAGCAGTCACTGACTGACGTAACTTTTCTTTCTCTTTTGTCAGTACACTCGGTCTTTTGTTTTATTTTGATTTTTGCATCATTTATTCATCAGAAAAATGACCTATATTAGATCATTTCTTCGTCCAGTCTCTGTTTCAAGAATAACGCC